GGAGGCGGCGGCGGCGGCGGGGGGGTGGGGGAGGAAGGCAGCGAGCGAGCGGGCGAGGCAGCGGCAGAGCCCGGCGGCCACCATGGAGCTGGCGATGGAGAACCTGGGCAGCCTGCACGGAGTCCCGCACTCGCAGCCCGCCGAGCTGCTGAGCCCCGCGCACGGGCGACAGAGCTCGCACCGCAACCTGGTACCGCACGGCCGGCCCGCCATGGTCTCGGGCATGGCCTCCATCCTGGAGGGGGGCGACTACCGCGGCGAGCACAGCCTGGGAGCCCCGCTGCACCCCGCCATGAGCATGTCCTGCGAGTCGCCCTCCGGCATGAGCCTGAGCAGCACCTACACCACGCTGACTCCCCTGCAGCACCTGCCGCCCATCTCCACCGTCTCGGAGAAGTTCCACCACCCGCACCACCACCACCACCACCACCACCCGCACACGCGCCTGGCCGGCAACGTCAGCGGTAGCTTCACCCTCATGCGCGACGAGCGGAGCTTGGCCTCCATGGGCAACCTCTACAGCCACTACCCCAAGGACATGCCGGCCATGGGGCAGCCCCTATCGCCGCTGCCCAACGGGCTGGGCAGCCTCCACAACGCCCAGCAGCCGCTGGCCCCTTACGGCCCCGCCGGCCACTTGCCCAACGAGAAGATGCTCTCGCCCAACGGCTTCGACTCGCACGCCGCGATGCTGTCCCGGGGCGAGGAGCACCTGGCGCGGGGGCTGGCGGCCCCCAGCTCGGCCATGATGCCGCCGCTCAACGGGATGCACCCGCACGGCCACCCGCACGGGCAGCCCGGAGCCTCGCTGCTGGGCGAGCGAGAGCGCCCGGCGCCCGGCCCCGGCTCCCAGCCCGGCGGCTCCGGGCAGGTGGAGGAGATCAACACCAAGGAGGTGGCCCAGCGGATCACGGCCGAGCTGAAGCGGTACAGCATCCCGCAGGCCATCTTCGCGCAGAGGATCTTGTGCCGCTCCCAGGGGACCCTCTCGGACCTGCTGCGGAACCCCAAGCCCTGGAGTAAGCTCAAGTCCGGCCGGGAGACTTTCCGCAGGATGTGGAAATGGTTGCAGGAGCCGGAATTTCAGAGGATGTCGGCGCTCAGACTGGCAGGTAGGACACGGCACGGCACGGCACGGCACGGCTCGGGCCGCCCGTCCCGCACCTCCGGGCGGGTGGGTCAGGGGGTGCTGCGAACACGCGTGGGAACCCTCGGGGGTTCCGTGGTTGCCATCGCGAACTGGGGCCGGGCCCGGGCGGTGTACCGATCCGGTTTGTGACCTTAAGACCAAAGGGAAGGAATTTATGTTTAAGGTGAGTTATACCTAAGGCGACCTCCCGCCTCCCCGGGCCTGCTGCTCCCCGGGAGAGATGCGGGATCGCTGCTGGACGGAGCCCAGAGGTGCCAGTTGGCCGCCGCCCGTCCTCCTGCCTTGGGGATTTCCCTCTCGGTACCGCCGAACCGGCCCCGTGGGGCCGGCAGTACCCTGGAACTCCTCCGCCGTCGCTTCGGCCACCGCCTCTCGGTACCGGGGCCGCGCTCAGGGGAATCTCCGGGCCACCCCGCCGGGGCTGCAGCACCGGGGCTGCGGCACGGGGGCCGCGCTCCGCTCCCTCCGGGCACCGGCTGCCCTCGGCAGAAGGACCGAGCCCCGCCTGCCCCGTGTCCCGGCTGGGTCGAGGTCCCGCAGCGCCGTTCCCCGCGGTCTCGGGCGGCGCTGGTCCGAGGCTGTGCTGGAGAAACGCGGCGATCTGCGCCGAGGGCGGGCGGGGGTCGCGGGGAAGGGGCCGGAGGGTGCGACAGAGGGGACAGCGGCGAGCGGGGACGTGCCCGGTGCTCCCCGCCAGCCCGGGCTCGGAGCCGCTCCCCCGGAAACGACTGGAGCTCTTGGCTCCGCGGGGCCGAGCCGCGGCGGACAAAACACACGTTAGTGATCTTTAATTTATTTTTTAAGAAATCCGAGCTCCCCGTGGGGACGGGCAAAGCCAGCGACGAGGACCCGCCGTTATTTATGGGGAAGAGCAGCGTTCATATGTATTTAGTGTAATTCAGTTGCTCTTTAATTAGGGCAGGGTAGTGGCATCTTTTAGTTCCAGTCGATGCCCTATTGAAAAGCAGTTAATAGAATGCAAATTGTTCTTGGCTTTACAAGGTTCTGGTAAATAAAGATTTAAACACTGCCGCGATCGGCCGTTTAATGCCCCCGTTGTTGGGGCTAATTGAGCAGCAGGCTCGGGCTTCTGCCTCGCCAGAATTGGAAATTATAATGAATAATTAAAAAATAATAGTAGTAATAATAATTTAAAATATCCGTGATGGTGATGATAAAAAGGCGGCCGCAGCTGGGGGAAGCTCGAGGGGAACTCTCTCCTCGGCCGGCCTCGAGAGGTCCTTGTCCCCGGCCCGGGTCAGGGATCCCTGTCCCCGAACCGGCTCGTAGGGTCCCTGTCCCTGCTGTCACTTCTTTGCTCCTCGCGCCGCCGTGGGAGGTTTATTCTCCCCAGAATTCTTTTTCTTCCCCGGCGCCGTTTCCCCCAGCGCCAGGGCCGCCATGTCCCCATTATTTACAGGAATTAACCCCCCAGATTTCCGGGGAACGGGGTTTGTTCATTTGCTGCCCGTGAAAACAGGGAAAAATCCACCAACCACCAGCCCAGGCTCCTGTCCTGACCCTGCCCGAGCTGCCCTCGCTCCCCACGCGGCTCCTGGAGGGGCTCGGCCGAGCTGCCCCCCGCTCCTGGCTCTTTGTTCCGGCCCCGAGCCCCGCTGGCTCCCGCTTTCGTTTCGCTCCTGCCACCGCCTCGCCGGCCCGGGCCCGGCCCTGGGGTCCGCCCCAGCCCCCCGGGCTCAGCCCCGGCCCGGCTGCCCCGAGCGGCGGCATCGGGGGGAAGGGGTCGCGCTGGGAGGCGCCGGGCCCGAGCCCCCCGCTCGATGCAGGCGAATCCCCAGCCCGAGGCCTCGGGGATTCTCCGCTCGTTCTTTCCGGCTGCCCCGGGCTGGGGGCCTGGAGGGGTCCGGATGGTTGCCACCTTCGCCCCCCGGCAAGCAGGGAAGGGACCTGGGCGGCAAGAGGAATTTTTCCTTCCCGGTATAAGGAAAAAAAAAAAAAAATGTGTTCTACGTGTGGCACGGCCGGGGCAAGTACTGGTACTGGTTCTGATGCTATTCCTGCTTCTGTCCTGGTTCTATTCCTATTTCTCTTTCTGATCCTGTTCCTCGTTCTGCTCCTGGTTCTATTCCTGTTTCTGGTCTTGGTCCTGGTTCTGGTCCCGGTGCTATTCTTATTCCTCTTCTCTTTTTGTTTGTTCCTATTTTCGATCCTAGCCCTGGTCCTGGTCCCGGTCCGGGGCCGCAGGAGTCCATCTGATGGATTAGTCCGAGTCAGTGAGCCGCGGATCGATGACCACGCCGGGCCACTAGAAATGGCACCGCCGCTTTTCTCCTCTTTCCAGCCCAGTTCCCCCCGTCCCGCCGCCCCCTCCGAGATGAACCATTAATTATTCAGCTGGGAGATGAGGGGGCTGCAGCTCCGGCCGCCCCGCGCTCCCTCCGGCCCCGCTGGCCCCAAGGGGCTCCGCAGAAGAGGAGGGGTCCCACGGAGAAACATCTGGGCAGCAGCTGGCGGTGCCCAGCGCGTCCCCTCGGGCCATTCATCTCTGCGACCCCGAGTCGCGGCCGCAGACCCCCGGGCCCGCTCCAGATTAATCTCCACCAACTTCGTGACCGCCCCGCGAGGCCTGCCAGGGCCCTGGGTGACGCAGAGCTCCCACGGTGGCATTTTTGGGGGTCCTTGCACGAGTGTGGCCCCCACCCGCTAAACCCCGACCCCTCTTGCCCTGGGAAAAGGCGCCGGCTCCTTCCCCGAGGGGAATGCGGGAGGTGGGAACGCTCCTGCGCCTCCCTCCCCGCGTGTCGCGGCGGGCAGGGGGTGCCTCCCCACCCTGCGTGTCCCTCGCGTGGCTCTGGGTGCGCTCCCATCCCAGCCCCCCTCCAGTGGGAGCCCCCTCCCCGCCACCGATTTATTCCGGCACTCAGGACCGGGAAATCCGCTCGTGATTATTTCTCGGGAGGGCGGCACCGCCGTCGTGTCCCTTTCGCGGCACGGCGCTCCCTGCTCGCCGCCTTCCTTCGTGCCCCGCTCGGAGGGGCGCTCGGGGGTCCCTCCTGCCGTGGTTTTCCCCGGCTGTGCGTGGAATTCACCCCCGCGCGTGGGGTGCGCCTGGCCCCGCGGGGCCCGGGTAGCTCCTGCTGCTTTTACATTCGCTTCTCCTTTTCCTTCTCCAACCTTTCGTTTTATTTTCCCATTAACACTTCCACTCCTCACCCCCCACTCCCGTTTTTTCGTTCTTCATTTTCATTTTTTTCTGTATTTGCTTTCACTTTGTTTTGTTCGTTTTGTTTGGTTTTCTTTCTTGCTTTCTTTCTTGCTTTCTTTCTTGCTTTTCTTGCTTTTCTTTCTTGCTTTTATTTATTTCCTTCTTTCTTTCCTTCTTCCTTTCTTTTCCATTCTTTTCCTTCCTTTTCCTTTCTTTCTTTCTTTTCCTTTCTTTTTTAATCCTTCCTCTCCTGCTATGAATCCCTTCCCCGAACATGTCTCCACCGCAGCACCAAGTGTCGTTTTTCAACACAAACCCCAAAACCACCCCGGAACTGCGAGCACGACCGCGGGGCTGGGTCGAGGCTAATGCCCGAGGGTTTTGACAACGCCAATAATTAATATCACTAATTAATACCGCAAAATTAATACACATACGTGATAGAAAAAGGGACAAGATGGCGCTGAATAAAACCTCGGGAAATATATATATTTAAATATTTTTTCACGAGTTTTGTTTTAATTTCAGCCTCTTTCAAACGACTTTGGCCCAACGACGGCTCCTCTAGGCCCGCGGCCACCGAGCACCGGGGCGGCCCCGGCTCTGGCCCGGCTCTGGCCCGGCTCTGGCCCGGGAGAGCGGCGGAAATCCGCGGACGGTTTCGTTGCTTTCGATCCGCGCGTGGCCGCAGGCGACGGGAAAAAGGCGCCGCAGCCGCGGAGAGCTGTGGAGGACCGGGAGCGAATGGGTTTTGTCGCCGTAAAATGGGCGAAAACGAGATTTTGGGGGTCTCGGCTCTCAGCGGCTCCTCCCGGCCCGCGAGAGTTGCCCACGCAGGGAGTCGGAGAAAGATTCGAGAAAGGAGGCAAAGCTTTGTCCCAGTTGGGGAACAGAAAACAACCAACCAAACCTTAAAAAGTCTGGGTTTTTTTGTTTTGGTTTGGATTAGTTTTTTGGGTTTTTTTAACTTGAATTTCTTAATTTTTTTTCTTAAATTACTATTTTATTTCGCTGTATTTTTTAAAAAAAATTATTTTTTAGCTCGTAAATGTAGTTGGAACGAGATGAGCTTTAAGATCCTTTCTGAAGCAACCCGTTTTGGGATTCTGTTGAATTAGAGGCGACTTTCTCCGCCCGCACGGAGCAGCCACTGCCGGCGTCCCCGGCTGCGCGGGGGCGGCCGCTGCGCGCTCCGCTGCTCTCTCTGCGCCGTGTCCCGCAGCTCCTGGGGTCCCTCATTGCCTGAACCCCGTGTCCCGCAGCTCCTGCTGTCCCTCATTGCCTGAACCCCGTGTCCCGCAGCTCCTGGAGTCCCGCATTTCCTGAACCCCGTGTCCCGCAGCTCCTGCGGGCCCTCATTGCCTGAACCCCGTGTCCCGCAGCTCCTGCGGGCCCTCATTGCCTGAACCCCGTGTCCCGCAGCTCCTGGGGTCCCTCATTGCCTGAGCCCCGTGTCCCGCAGCTCCTGGGGTTCCTCATTGCCTGAACCCCGTGTCCCGCAGCTCCTGGGGTCCCTCATTGCCTGAGCCCCGTGTCCCGCAGCTCCCCGCACCCTCCGCGCTCCGAGCCGCCGCCTTATCAGCGCGGCGGGGCCGCCTCGCTCCGCCCGCGGCTGTTTTTCTGTTTGCTCCTAATCTGCGCCTCAGAAGGGGCCAATAAACCTCCCGCAAGTTAAACATTAAATGGGGTTCCTTCCCCCCACCCCCAGGAAACAGCCTCCCCCCTGCGCGGGGTGCCGCCTGCCACCCACCCGTGCCCGCGGGGTTCTGCTCCCCCAAACGCTGCTCCCCAAATCC